TTTTAGAAGAGCTTTTTCTTGGGCGCCCGCTGTGTGCGGCGCGAACACTGGAATGCATACACTACTTTATGTGCTGTGTTTTTTATTCTTGGATACATTTGATTTTTTCACGTAAGTTCGCATATACTTCTATAAGAGCGTGACTTGTAATAAAGGGATAATGAAGTGTATGCCTCATAAGTGCATGTTCTGGCCAGGCACTTGCATGTCTGCCTGTCTGTATTTGGCCTATCCCCATGGGTTCCCAAAACTTGCTGGTGACCTCACCTATGCTAGGAGACTCTCATCCAATGCTGGCTGGCTACTTGGTGAAGATGGCTTTGACCTCTGTCATGTCAGGGACCAAGTCTCTCAAACCCCCCTTCTACCATGTCAGGTGTTCCAGTGTGCTGTTGGTGTACATGATCTCATTCCCACTTAGCAGGAAGGCCTTGGCCACTGAGTCAGTAACTGGGGGTTTCACGTACCTAAAGGTGTGCCTACCTATGCTATAGGAACCCCTTCCAAAGTGTTCTTATGTCATCTTGGGCAGGCATCACATTACCCATCCCAACTGTTGTGAAGACCTGAGCTCCTGAGTGCCTCAGTGGGGGGAGGTGCTAGCCAACTTCTTTGTTGTGCCCCCCCCCCCCATGGTGGTCCTCAGCGTCTTTCTCCCTGCTCCTCCCCTGGTCTCATATAATAGGATGTTTGTATGTGTATGTGGCAGGGGCAGGAGTTGTGGGGAGTGGAAGAGTTGAGACAGTCAGGCAGCCCTGGAACTCACTGTAGCTCAAGCTGGCCTTAAATTTATGCTACAGCTTCCCAAGTACTGAGATTACAACCATGAACCCAACACCTGGCTCATCCTATGGCCTCCTATAAGATAAATGGGCCATCTCCACCAATCTCAGGGCCTTTGCACACACTGTTGGGCCTGTTTGAGAATTAAGTCATTTAGAGATGATTTGTCAGCAGGCCTTCCCCAGTTCTGGCCCTCCTCGGGCACCTTGAGGTCTACTTGAGAGAACATATCGCTGACTACATTCCTGGTCATGCTCTCTGCTCTGAGGGCCTCTCCAGGGGTGTCCTGATCACCCACACCCATCTGATGTTGGCGATCAAGTGCTGATCAAAAACAGGGACCCAGTTCTCACTTGGGGAAAGACCAACAACTGGTTCTAGTGAAGTCGGGGCTGGGGAGGAAAGACAAGAAGGCACACAAGATTCTGGCAGCCGAGGCTCAGCCTGTGAGGAAGGAGAGCCCCAGGCACAGAAAGGAGGGTGAAGAGTGGCTGACTCTGGAAATAATGTCAAGGCTGCGCAGACAGGCAAGGTATACCCTAGAGGAGGGTACAGAGAAGCGCAACCCCAAGCCGGCCCACGCCGCCTCCCAAAGCCTGACTGCATCTGTCGGCGGCTGGGGCCCTCGAGGGTTTGCAGCCCTTGGTAAGCAACCTTCTCCGACCCAGAGAATGTAGGCGGGACCGTCGTGGAAACTTTAATTAGAAACTGGGATTCGGGGGCGGGCACCCCTGCATCCTGCTCTCAGCTCTTCT